GGCTTCTACATTCAGCCTTCTTAAGGGTGCTTCTGCATGGCAGGATTAAAGTACTATCATCCAATGCAGATGTTGGCAGAACAGCATGCCAGGTTAAATATCTGTACATTCCTGATCGCATTCAATATTACAATTCTCTTGCAACCTCTGGTGATCTTCGAAGGAGCTGCAGACATCCTGGGATCAAAAGTTATGCCCCTTTGCCCCAGGGTTAAATTGGCTCCATGACAGAGAGGTATTTCTGTGAGAGCTCTGGTACTATCATGACAGCTCCTAAGACTGAGGCTACTAATCTCACAGCCGCCATGTTAAGGATTCCTCAAATGCACCTGCCACCTTGCTAGAGAAGAAAACCACACTTGCTCTGGTAAGGATGCAGAAACATGTTGTTGTCTTGGAGAAGAGCCAAGAGCTTCAGAAGTATAAGAACAGGAGCTGAACTGAATCGGAAGAGTTAGAAGGCTTTCCCCTGCTTTGGTGCTCGGACTGCGTGCAATGCGGTGAGCAACTCTTCCATCTCCTCAGCTACACAGGAGGACCAAGAGCGACTCCTTTCTTCTTGTGATGCTGAGACACAAGTGCTCCACAAGGCCAGAAGGAAGAGCTACTAGACTTTAGAGGACAGCAAAGGAAATGGTTCAAGAAGTTCTTTGAGGTTTCATGGCCCAGATATTGTAACCCCACCAGAAGATTTTTTTTTTTCCACAGAAGTGATGGTGGGCTCTTACTAAAGTAAATGTGGACTTTAGTGTTGACTCTTGGTCAGATTTCTGGTTTTAACTCCAGCAATACAAGTCAAAGAGCTGGGCATTATATCTAAAGTCCGATGTGACTAAGGGCATACCTACCAACCTACTCTAAATAGACTCAACCTAGTCCAGTCAAAATGAGTCTTTGGAGAGTGCTAGCTGTAATAAATAAATAAAATATATAAATCGACCTTCCCAGAGGGTACAATAAATTTAGATATGTTTTCTGGATTCTAATTAAGGAATTAGTTTGTATAAAAGAACTTATAAGCAGGTTTGGAGATTAATTTAAACACAAAAGCACACAGTCCTAGAACTTCAGGCTTTATCTAATCATCCAAACAGCACCAAATTATAAACTGAATTCTCACCATATCCTTGGAGGTAATTCTCCAAAGATGACCGGCCACTCATTACAAAACTAGATCCATGTTCTCTCAACTGTCAATTTATTTTTCTCTCTGCCATGCTCCTGTGCCTTCCTCAAGGAACAGAAAAGAAAAAAAAAGCAGCGGTCTGTTCTATGCAGTTGCAAAACCCTCCAACTTACGCAGGGGTGCCCAAGGGGAAGAGGCGTGTGAAAAAATAAAAAAATCAAGACGATGACTGCTATCATATGGTTCCTTTTTACCTACTTCCCACTGTAAGCCAGGATAAATTAAAAACAGAATATCTGTCACTGTCAATCAATAGAACAAATCAATCCAGAGACAAAAGATTAGATTCAAATAACTGAGTTTTGACACATTATTAGACAGACTCCTCTCTTTTGAAATGTCTGTAATGCTGGGTGAGATCGTAAGGGATACATACATTGAAAATAAAACAAGACATTGATAAGGTAAAAAGATTACAGATCGCTCTGTTTGGAACATTGTCATTATCACAGCAGTCAAGAGCCTTTATCAAACATCAACCAGCATCTATCCTATTGAATTCTGAAAGAAATGTGGGAGACTGTAGTTAATTACCAGGCACTTTATTTTAACAAAATCCTTATGTCTTTTAATCATGTATGACTGTAAATTTCCACATCATTGAATTGCTGTGTTGGATTGCCTCATATGTCATAATCAAGCTACATTCCCAGCGTTTTCAAGGGATGCTTTTGAATTTGGGTGGTGATGGAAAAGGTCTCACAAAGGAACCAATGGCTTCTTTTGCTGCTGTGCTACTTGAGACCCATGAAAGAGAGAGAGAGAGGCAGTCCATAACCTCTGTGCATGCTACTTGGCCGACCCATGAAATCTTAAATACAATATGGATTGCATGTTAGTTTGAAGTAATTATATCAAGCTATGCAGTGAAATTAACAAAAACAGGGAGCATCCTCTCCGCTGCTTACTCTTCCACTGGATGTGGGTCTACTTATGATCTGAGCCATGGTGGTGCTGTGATTAGAATACAGGATTGCAATATTGGAGGCAAATTCTGCCAACTGCCAGCGGTTCGATTCTGACCAGCTCAAGTTTGACTCAGCCCATCCTTCTGAGATCGGTAAAATGAGGACTCAGATTGTTGGGAGGGGTATGCTGATTCTGGAAACCATTTTGAGAGGGCTGTAAAGCACTATGAAGCGGTATACAAGCCTATTGCTATTGCTGAACTCACGATTGTTATGTGCAGGTATACCTTGCTAGGATAGGTTCAATCATCAGAAAAGCATCTTAGCAGAGGAAGTTGCCGATAGTTTGATCAGTTCTTAGAAGTTCTTCCATTCAAAAACAGCTCTTGAATTGTTGGGCAAATAACACATCCTTCAAGGTTCTTCTCCTTGTAGCAAAATGTGTATCAGCACATTAACTGGGCAAAGCAGTTGCTATTTTCTCCACTGCACTTTCAGGCCTGAATGTACTCAGGGTTGGCAATTAGTAGCTTCTCTACTTTGGCCTAATAGCATTCAAATCTAATTCTTGGAATATTCTACACAACTGAATAGCTATGGGTTATGCACAGTAACAGAGCCTCTCTAATGCAAGAGACCACATTTATGTGGATACTTCTTACATTATTTTATTGAGGAAAGAAATTTCCACATCACCCTGCTCCAAACTGTATTTATCTTTGAAGGTTGAGCTAGTCATTAGTCATTTTCAGGGATTAAAACTCTCTTAAAGAAACTTCTGTTTTGAAACGTAAAGGCAGCTCAGTTGAGAACCATTAGGGTTTCCTGTCCTTGAAAGTTTCTCTTGACTGTTTGGAAAAAATGTCTTTTTAGCACCAAGTTCGAGCACAGAAATTTTAAATATGAGGACAGAATGTTGAATTTGAAGCCAAATCTCTTACTGGCCACATTCAAATGACTTAGTACAGAAGCTACTCTAGCTATGATTTTATGTAAACTTATCCTGAACCTTGCAGTTAATTTATATTGTGTACAAACCCAGACAAATAGCATCCAGTTGAGTCAACCAGTGTTACATAAATCAGGGGTAAGCATATTGTGCAAATATGGACTCCTTTGTTAATTTCTAGACTTTGGTTCTGTGCAACTTGAGACACGTGCAATTACAGTATTCGTAAAATCATCATTTATATTTATATACCACAATCATTTGTACAGTTTTATATGACATATAATTAAGACCATTATTCTGGAGAAAGACCGGATGCATACTAAGTTCCCGCAGGTTTCATGTTGTCCCCAGCAGGCCCTAAATCTGCCTATTGTCCTTCAAGGGCATCATTGCTGTTTGGTTAACGAAGCCACCATACTGCCTTGAGGCTGTAGTTGCATTATAGTGTCATTTTCACATTAAATTACCATACCAGTGAAGAAAATGCCTTTATTGAAATAATGAGAAGATAAATTGCATCATTGTGAATAATATTACACATCAATAACGTATTTCAGTCATCTAAATTAGCCCATATATATTATTTCAGCAAACCTAAACACATTTATCAGGTAGATTGGTTATTATCATGTTTAGGTTGTATAAAAGGCTTGAGAAAAGCTTTCGGCCGCATGACCACCATATCGACTCCCATAGTGAATTTATGATTTATCCTTATATGCCTCATCTTAGCTACATGATGGCCTTTTTGCTAGCTGAAATTTCAGAAGGAAAAGACTTTTAAGGGCTTGATGCAATAACCAGCAAAGACATTACAATCCATTCAGGCATACACACGGAGTTGGGAGAGGGAAATACTTTAAAATATTAAATGGGACAGTAAGGGATTTCTGGTTCTTGGTAGTTATCACCTGAGGTAGTAACACATATAACCATTACTGCAATTGTTTCTGAAATCTTATTGTACTTCTCCAAATTTCCTTTTCAAACCAATTTTGTCTTTTTTTAAGGCTGGCTGAAAAACTCCCTAATTTAAAGCTCAGCTCTGTAGTTCCGTATGCAGATGTTCCTAACTTATACCTGAATAATCTCAAACTAATATTTAGTAGCCAGATTCAAGTTAGCTTCAATGCAAAATAGAAATATGAGTGTGATTCTCATTTGCTTTCCTACTGCCCAGGCTTTGGTGACATAATTTGTTTTTTTTGCCAGACATCGAGTCTTCTGGATGATTGCTTAGATGCTTTGACTATTCATTTCCATAATTTATTAGCAGATTTGAGAAACTGCACCTTAGACAGACCTTTACTGAGAAAGATTTTATTAACCTGAATACTCCTACCATTTGCTTTTAAGTTAACCATTTATTACTGCCTATCATCTAGGACCAATCACAGTAAACATTCTAATCATTCTCTATGATCTAATATTTTGGTACTCCACTTGTACTTAATATAAATAGTGTGCTAAGAAACTAATCCAAACTTTACTTCTGCAATAAACTGATTGATTGGTCTCAAGCAAATCAGCATTTTCAGTTATCTAGAATATGGGTGGTAACACACAGCATGACTGTGTGAAACTATCAGATTCTTGAAGTTTCTTAAACACTCTATCATCCTATACAAAATATTTTGAGATCCATTATTTTTCCAAAAAATGATTTTTCCTCCTTTTTCATTTACTCTGCGAGTCCAAACCTGAAGCCAAACTGAACATTCTAAATTATCTATTATTATCGCTAAAGGCCTTATCATTTTTTTCTTACTTTATTTATCAGCTGCAGCAGCAAACTAGATGCCCAAACTAACCATACTCAAAATAGTCCAGACATTTTTTGTTCCTTGAAATTAAACTAATCCTATATTAATCTAACACACATCTGTAGGAAATCCATTTACTATGAACTCTTTTTAAAGAGAAGAAATAAGGGCACAAAGTGAAGGCTACCATCTTTTAAACATGTATGTTGCTTTTATTTATACAAGGATAGAGAGACTGTAGCATTTTTTGCTTTTACTTGTGATCATTTAGGCTTAGCATTACTTATAAATTGCTAGAAATTTAGTTTAGAATCAGATAACGGGATTTTGGCCGGGAAGTGAAAAAAATGAAACCTCCCATCCCACACCAAACATTAAAACTAGGGAATATCTAAATTTATACAGGACATATAGACAGAATGTTAATTCTCTCAGGAAGAATGGAAATTGCTCACCCACTGCTGGAAGAGATATTCTCCAGTATTCCCAGTATTCTTAACTTTAGGATAAGTTGCAAAAACAAAACAAAAAACCCCAATATAGCAATCTCTTACAGCTTTTCCCCTTCAAATTTCTCTTCTTGAACCCACAATTTACAGCAACCTGTTTCATTGTCAGCATGAATAGCTTCTGCTGTTAAAAATAAGACCTGGCTAGTGGCATTCTGGGAGGAATAGGGATCAGAAAATTTTGGTTTAGAACTATTGGAAGACATTCCCACCCACCACCCACCCCATTTTTAGGATATAGACCTGGCAATATTTAAAACTGGCCCTACGCCATTGGACGTAAGGAAGGGCATCAGTAAGGTGTGCCAGGGCCACTCCTGAACAGCAAGAATATGTCTTCCCATTAAAATCTGACCCATTGTACACTGCAGGAAGCAAGGGCAAGAGAAATGCTAAGAAGCTGCTTTCCCAGAATGGAATGATTGGGAAAAAGAGGCGGCAAAAGGGATAGCAAAGTGTAAATTTCCTTTCTCGTTAATATATGTCTAGCTAAATGTTCCCACAATCTTGTTCTCCAATTTTGGAAAGTGGCAGAGTTTGTGGTCCTCAGGAATTGGATGCCTCATATTGGCTTGATCTAGGTTTCCTCTGTGGCAGAGCCTTGGCTTCTGGGCTGAGTGGGACCAAATGTGTCTGTAGGGACAGGGCTGGTGGGCCTGGCTCAGGCCCAGGCCCAGTTCCATTGATTCTGGTGGGGCAAGTCTGGTTGAGGTTGTTTGAATTTCCAGAGGGTGGTCGGGACTTGTAGTTGGACTGGTACCAAGACCCATTTCTATAGCGATTTGAATTGTGATGCAATGAGCCATTTTGCCGTTGTCCTTGGGACCGGTAACCTTGATTAGACCTTCTATTTCCCTGGAACCCCTGGAACAGAAAGAAAGAGGGGGAATCAGTGAGATTGGTAGCAGTATTGTGAATGAAGGCAAATATAAGTAAGTGTCTTAGGATAATGTTGCAAGATCCAATCTGGATTGTTCGCCGGGACCAGAGGTTTACTCCTCTGAGTTTTTTGATTCATGCTGGAGCCCATCCTCACAGAATTTCTCTCTCCTGGAATATGTCTACTACACAAGAAGATGCAATGGCCTAGAATGTTTCATTTGACTGCTGTCAATGCAGTCTTTAAAAATGGGAAGTTATTTTAAAATGTGGTGCATGCTTTACTAGAGTTGAATTTTCATTCCAAGTGTTGGCTTAAGAAAAGCAAAGGTGAGATTAAAGAAGTAGAATGACAGCCTACTACATGTCAAAATACGGGCCCTTCGCTTTCCCTTCTAAGTGAAAAATGCTACGGTAAAGAGGACTCAAGCCTGGGCAATCTCCAGGCCACTCTCAACTACAGAAAAAACATTAAATCATTACCTCACGGTGGGACTGAGATGGACGGCTTGTGGCATTTGTGGAGGTTTCTATAGGGGATAATGGTTTCTTATTGGCCATTATGAGGCTAGGAGAAGAGGTAGAGGCACACACTGTGGTAGTGGACTCATCCGGACTGTTTACTGCCATGGAGGTCATGGAGCTGCACCGTGATCTGGTTGAATAATGATTTTTTGGATGTGAAACTGAAAAAAGAATGACAAAAACTTTATTTCACACTTTTTTTAATAATGTAAACCTGAATTTATCTCTCATCCCATCAGCAACCAGTGATGATATATTTTCCAAATTCTTACACAATCAAATTGCAATAAAAAAAAATGCTTCCAGTCTGCTCCTATAGTGTTCCTGTAGTAGCCATTGCCACCACTTTACAATTACTTCTCAGACATTGTGAGCCAGCTAAGGGGGGGAACCACGTGCCTGCTGAAAAATACCTTGAGGTATAGAAATACCAGAAATACTGGAAGAGACAAGGCACTGTCCAATCAGGAATTTACAATCTTACTAGATTTAAAGATGAAGTAAAATTGGAAAAAAAAAAAAAACAGAACTAATGAGCAGAGAGGAAAAGCCTGCAAATGCACTTTTGTGTAAGTGAATGGATTTCACTTTAGTAGTACTGCAACAAGTCTTTGAACATTTTTTTCAATTTTTTCTTAAAATCTAAAGCATTGGGCTATGTCAAATGGAGATGTCCAAAGAGAGACCCCGTTCCATACTTATTAATTTGAAATATTTATAGTGTGCCCCACACCCAAAGGATATATAACATATACATTTATAATATATCTAAAATAAGCAGGATAAAGTAATAAATACATGTAAATGACTCAGTTCTGGAACTGTAATAATATGAAAACATAAGGGACCTCGATCATCTTCCTTTCCTGAGCTGATAGAATTCTGAGAAGACCTTTTCAGTTGAAAGACACACATAAGCATATTTTCAGAATTTTAGAAATGCTTTTACTAATCACACATGTGTTTAGTTCAGTTCAGCTTTATCCCATCATTGCTGTGTTTTTATTCTGTGTGGGTACCCAGGATATACAAGCTCACCTTGTCCAAAGGATTCAATGCTTTTCTTTAGGGCATCCAGCTCACAAGTGAAGCGAGCCACTCTTCCGAGATCTTCATCATATTTGCGCTCACTAACAAAGTGCTGCAGAGAAGAAAAATGTAGGCATGTGAGCATTATGCACAAAGCACATTCATGTTTTGGGAGAGAAGCTGTCAATGTGGATTGCTGGTATCAACCGAGGCACAAAACTACACACCCTTCTCTCTGCTTCTACACAAAAGAAGTAGAAAAAGAAACAATTGGATTTATTTTGCAGGAAGACCCCATTAGAAAATAATGAACAGCTTAAAGATGGAACTGCTGATAGAACAGCAAGTACCAAAGTGATTTTTTTCCCATGCAGTGAGATTTTTGTGGGAATTTGAACGTAACTTCATTCTGGCCTCTAGTGGTAGGCAAGGGAAGCATTTGTCAGCGTTGCTAGTTCACACAGCACGACACACAAAGACCAACTTTTTGTAGTCGCAATCAAATTATTCTTCAGCTTTATGGAGGTTAACAAATGTGAAAAAGTTTCAGGCAAAGTCTTCAACTTGATTTTCAAGTTTGTTCTTTTCAAAAGTTAATTTTTAAAAAATGATTTTGTTTTTCAGTCAAGTTTAAGCAAATATTGTCAGGTCTGACTCTGAAATTGCCTGTTTCAAATGCTAAAGACTGGCTCCTCCTAAGTATGTCCTCTGCTGTTCAAGGCAGCCCTTCTGCCTAAGAGGAATATAAGGAAATGTAATTGCATCAACAGAAGCTAGGGAAATGTAATTTCTCTGTGCATATTGTGGCTGTACTTTGAGGAGATCTCTGCCCCAACTGCCCAATCTGTGTAGATTAGAAAAAGGTGCATATAGTCCAAAGCAGTCTGGAGATTCACCTTTATATCAGCTCTAAGTTCTACCAATTGCTCTTCTGACATTCGGACTGCTACATCAGTTAGTTTCTTCAGTGCCTCTGCCTTCTTTTGGCGGCTGCTTAGGATTTCCACTATAATGTAAAACAGAACCCCAAAAAAGGCAATAATGTTTATAATAAATACGATAATTAACCAATTAAAGCACAAAACAATATCTAAGTTGCTATAAATCTAATTCCTGCCTGCCCCTATTCTCCCCTTTCCCCAGTATTTTAGTTTATCCTTCGAAGATCAGCTGCAGCTCTGCAATACGTCTGAAAAATGCTTGAGGCCTTGGAAAATGCCTAAGACTGGAGTTAAGTGCCAGGGAACAATTACCTAGGTAACAGGGTGAGAACTCTGTTTAAGTTCCTTAAATTGACAGATTCTTATATAGCTCAAGCTCAAAAAAATATCTGTGAAGAAGGTCTTTTTGCTTTCTTTTTCTCTCTCCCCTTTTAATTTAAAAAAAGTTATCAAGTTAAATTAGTTGTTTACTTGATTGCAATGCTTTGGATGGGGGTGCAGTTTATAACTCTTTTCTCCTGTACTCTTTTCCCAATGAATGTTGGTATATCAAAGCAGTTCTTTTGTCTTGTAAGGAGAAAACCATGTAGGTACTACAATAAAACTCTGGGAACCAAAACCGAAAGAACTGCAGTTTCTACTGAGAGGTAATGGGAATTGCTTTGTTATAAAACACAGGTAGCCACAGGTTTATTTAGATATGAAGATTATAGGATCACAAGTAGTGATTCAAGTCTCAAATCAGACAATCGGGCTGGGCAGATATTTTATTCTTACACTTTTCAGCATATTTGGACTCTTAAAGTGAGAAATTTCATAACAGTTGGAATGGTCACAGAGACTGAGGCCGTGATAGTTTTCATCCAGGATAAGAAGAAACCTTAGGAGCACTCTGTTTAACATTGTGTTTGGAATGAGAAAACCCCAGATGCTGGTCTGGCGTAGTGGCAACTTGGATTAATTATGGCACTATACTTGGAAAATAAATGCAGTTAGTCCTTGACTTACAACCACAATTAAGCCCAACATTTCCACTGTTAAGCAAGGCAATAAAGTGTTGTGTTCCATTTTACTTTTTTTTTTTTGCCACAATTGTTAAGCGAATTACTGAAGTTGTTAAGTGAATCTGGCTTTCCCCATTGTTTTGTCAAACGTTCGCAAAAAGTGACCAGCTGGGAAGGTTACAAAAGGTGATTACATGACCACAGGACAAAGCAGTGTCAAAAATAAAGGCAACTGAATTCTGATCACGTGATCAAAATAGGTTTTGTGAAAAGTCGTCATAACTCACTTTTTTCAGTGCCACTGTAACTTTGTATGGTCCCTAAATGAATGGTTGTAAGTCAAGAGTAAAACTGGATCTTACCCACGTACATATAATTACAAGATAATTTGAAATATGAACCTATACAACTAGACATGATATAAAACCAATTTGTATGTATATAATATGAGGTTTACGTATCTGGAAACACCGGAAACAGAAGTCCTTCTTTGTATTTTGTCTTGAACTGCTTATTTCAAACATCTGGTAGTCTTGTACTGGTTTCGGTACACAGATATGAACATAGTTGTGTTTTATAAAACTTACTTGCTTCTGCTTTTACTTTGTCCATTTCACCAAGTAGGGCTACTTCTCGATCCATGAGGCTAAAGGAAGAAAAGAAAGAAAGAAAGGAAATAAATATTAAAATTCATAGGCTGTAACTCTCAGAAATCAACTCAATGATCAATCGGGACAATAAATTGGGACAAATCTCTGCCTCCTTGATGAAGACAGTTCCTTGCTATACATTAAGCTTTCAAACATTGAATGGATAAATATCACTAACAAGGAACTTGTCAACTTTTTTTCTGAGATTTTCAACATCTCGTTTTCTTTAACCAACTGAAATTCTACATGGTTTACCATTGTTTTGGTTCCCAAAATTGTAAGTATGTTGATGTTTTAAGCTTTCATTCCCAAAGTTATTTACAGTTTGCTGTTCTACTTTTAATTCCCATATAGCAATCACTGTGGCCTATTAAAGTGTTTAACTACCTGTAATTCTCATATTTCAAATGGTTATCTGTGAATATGCCTGTACAGGGTTTGTACTTGCAAGCACCCAATTTGAAACATACCAGAACTATTCTTTGCAGGAAGTTGAGCCTCATTGTAACTTCTCCCCTATAACAGGGATCCCCAACCTGTGGGCCGCAGCCCACTACTGGGCCATGGGCTATTCGCCACCAGGCCACTTGAGTGGCTGGCTGATGGGCGCGCCTCTGTGCGTGTGCACAGCCCCACCCACGAGTGTTGTCACAGGCATTCAGAGCCCCACTCGCACTAGCCTCGTCACAGGCGCTTGTGGCTCCACTCACGCTCACGTTGCTGCAAATGTCATGGGCGCTCGCACATACACATGCGCTTGCCCTTCCCACAAAATCATCCCTTCTTTCCCCCCACCCCCTTCTCCAGGCCACCAATCCAGAAAGGTTGGGGAACTCTGTGCTGCAAGTAGTAACTGCTGTTTCTCTCCTCAGGTTAGCAACCGCTACAGTAATTACTGGAATTGGTAAAGCAGAATCAAGTATCTGATATGGGGGAGGGGACCAGTGTCCATTTAATCCCCAGTTGAAGAACAAGTTCTGTTCCCAAGGTCTGCCTTTAAGTCAAATTTGTATGTAAGGCAGAACGGTATTATAATACTGTATAAATAGTATTGTGTAATTAACTTGAACCATTGTGTATTTAATTTGAATCACTGTGTATTTAACTTAGATTCTGCTAAAACAGGTTCTAGACTGAACTCTGGGTTGTCCTTAAACCAGGGTGTTCTTCATCTGTGAGCTTACTGTACACTGGTTGGTGTACACTGTACACCGCTGTACACTTGAAGAACCAGAGTTTCAGGTTAACCGTTAATCTGTTCTTTTTCTCTCTGATTTCCTCTGGGTTAGCGTCAAAGAGCCATTCAGACAAAACTTTTGATTGAGAATAAAAACTGATGGTTCTAGTACCAGATCTATACAAGAAACAGTAGGCACATACATAGCTGAAATGGAATGGTCCAGTATAGACTGGGTTCCTTTGCCAGCTCACAGCTTACCAAAATAGCAAATGTTTTGAATGGCACAGGTACTGCTTTCTTAATCTGTTCAGAATACAGAATATACTGTTCCTTATGAAGGGCTTCCATCCTCTTAAACAGGCCAATCACATGCCAAAGAGGAAGACAGATTTGGAAAGAAATAGGAAGGATAAATTATTGGTTGAAATGCAAGAGAACAGGCTTTTGCAGCATCAGTTTATTCCTATGGAATGCCAAGAATTTGTTTATAGGGGGCAAAGCTCAGTCATACTCCATGCTATAATACTGTACTTGTGAGCAAAAAAAATGGCCTAATAAATGCAGGATAGTAAATGCACAGAGATGATTTATGGGCATCATTAGAACCTCTAAAAGTCTCTGAAAAGACATTCCCCTCAGGAGTCTCGGCAGAGGTTGGCATGGCTACCAAGAGCTGTTCACCATACAGCTGCTTCTCTGATCTTCACAATCACCCTCAATAACAAGGAAATAAATAAAACATTATTTGTTGACATTTTATCTTTTATCCACTACATCTCTTTTTTGTAGCTGTTTATTCTGTCCCTTTAAATATTTTAATAAAAATAACACACCTTGCCCACAAATATAGCAATCTTATGGAAACTGAAGAAGCTCAGAGGTTTCCTAAGGGGGTCATGCATCTGAGAAAGAGATAAAGGAACTATCTGATATTTCAGTTTTAATTCCAAATTTCTGAGGGGTTGAGGATAATTTGGAGTAGTTATCTATCACACCCTACCGCTAAATCATGCAGAGATGGGTGACAACATGCAGGGATGGGTGATAACAGATTCTGAATATCTGCAAGAATAGGTTTCAGCTTGGATGCATCCAGATGAACAACTGATAAAGGATAAAATATAATCATTGAAAGCTTGCATCTCAGAGGTTGAACAATCTCAGCAATGGCTCAGAGGTTGTAATAATGAAGGCCATGGATGATGATGCAATTCTAAATCCTAATAATCATCCGTAAATATGTTCCAGCTTCTATTCAGGGCAACAAGCCAAGGAAAGCCAATAAAATCCTTACAGTGAGGAAAATGAAGACAGGGTAGGTATCAGCCTTTATGCTGCTATTAAAGCAGCTACAGTTCTACTGCTTGCCTTTATGAATGAAAGAGGACTAGTCCTCACTTAATTGGGAGTGGTAACTCCACTGTAATGTGGTTGTAAAGTGCAACCTCACCTGACCATGTCAACTTACAACAGCATTTCTGGCACTTCTGGTTCCCATCATTAAGTAAATCCAGTGTAGTCATTGAGCAGAATATCATGTGACTGCCATTTGGGACTTCCTGCTGGCTTCCCCACTGACTTTGCTTGTGAGAAGCCAATGGGGAAGGTCACAAATTGTGACCATGGGACTTTGCAACCTTCATAAATAAATGCTGGTTGCTAAGTGCCCCAATGACCTCAAGGATACTGCAACAACTGTAACTACGAGGACTGCTTGTAAGTCTCCTGGTTCAGGGCCATCGTAAATCTGAATGGTCGCTGAATGAATGGTTGTTAAACAAGAGCTACCTGGACAGGGGAACTAGAGAATTTATGTTTGAAAACAATCCTGATGGCAAGGCTGATGAAGTCTCAAGCAATGGATTCATTTCTCAGACCAATATTAGGTAAAAGTAAGCCTGAAGGAGTGAACTGCCTATGTACTTTGTATTTCTTTTATTATACCTTCAATATCAGGTGTGGTCTGCCTGCTTAATCGTTTGTGCTTTGAGACCCAAAATAATTGTAGTGTTCAAGGCAATCACAGAATCTTATTGGAAAGTTCAGAGGATTAATCAGGCTGTATTTGTGATGTGTTCCCAGAGATGGATGATTTGTCTTTCAATAGGAACTTCACAAAAAAATCAGAAATTATATATTTAAAAGTCTGAGCATCTTGAGCAGTGATATCCAAAACCTGAAAATCTTCATTCCTGGCAATAACTTCAGGAGTTCACAGCACATTCATTTCTTTTGGACGTGGCAAAGAGAGTTTCCTGTCAGGTCAATGTTTTATTGCCATACTTTGTCAATTACAAAATACCATATTTCCCGGAAATAAAACCTATCCAAAAAAAAAAAAAGCCTTGATTTTTACATGCGTGCCCAATAGAAGCTCTACCCCCAAAATAAGCTCTAGTTAAGACCCTGCCCACTCCAGGGTGCATGGGGTGGGGCGAGGTGCATGGGTAAAAATCAAGCCAGGGTGGGGATGGGGCAGTGGAGCTGCCCTACTTACTTTCCGACAGTTGCAGCCAGGCCTGGCACTCCCTGACATCTCTCTCATCTTGCTGGTCCACTTCTTCTGCAGCCGCTTGCTGCTGCTTGCGCGCATCGGCCCTGGCCTCCGTTCAGGAAAGGCCTCTGCAGCTGATAAAAGAGCTCCAGATTGACATGCACCTGAAGGCCTCTGATGGTGAAACGGAGTCTGGGGGCACTACACGCAAGTGGCAACAAGAAGCCATAGAAGAGGACTGCCAGTGGGCTCCTGCTGGGTGGGATTGTCGGTGCCGCCGCCACAAGATCAGTGGAAGACATCCCCCAAGATTTGGTGCCTTTTTTGGTGCCCCCCCAAAAAGTAAATCCAGGTCTTATTTTCAGGGAAACTTGGAAGCATTTAGAAACTTGGAAGCATTTAGGGCCACCTGCTTGGAAGCAGGTGGCCCCTGAAAGATCTATTGGGATGAACAGTGCCTAACTCTAATGAAAATAAAAATATAAAAGTTGATAGTATGCGATAACAAGTCAAATAAAAACTGAAACTACAGTTTTCAATTACAGAGTTATTAAACTTTACTGTAGAACAGCTAAAGTTGAAAACTGTGAGAGTAATGCAGAGAATATTTAGCCTGAGGGTTTGATCTTCAGGAAATTGAGCACTTCAGTCTATTACATGGCAAGGTATTCCTGAATGGATTTTCCTGTTTTTGCCAAATATTATAAATTCATCATTATATTTAAAAAGAAACATAGCCCGCCTAATGAGCACATTATGAATTTCTAAAGCAAAATAGTTAAGTTTTGAAGGGATGCTATAAAATATTACTTGTTCAGTTTTAGTTCACAAAATTGTGGCAATTCCTTCGACACCTCTTCCAGCAAGTGACTACAACCAATGTATATCAAGAGAACATAATATTTGTAATGCCAACAGGTGCAAGATCAGATCTCTTGATAGACTTCCTACATTGAACCAGCAATGCTGCATTTATGTGTTGATACAAATAATTTTCCTCAGAAGTGAATAGAAAGGAATTTGTATGCTATGGCTCAAAGATACACAACCTTACTTGCAGGATGGCAATCACCCCGTTTTGAGGAAAGAACAAAGAACAAACCCTTGATTCATTATCTGGCATTTATTAAAGGAGGTTCTGCTGGCTTACTTCCAAACTAGCCATGCATTTCCCTGTGTCACGGAACTGCACTTCCTGCTTTCTGCCCTTACTCTGCCCCACAGCAAGCAGAATTATTGAAACAAGGTCTTTAACCTTTTAAGACATGACGCATGAGGAAGCAAAGATTAGAGGAGTGACAGAGGAGGATACGGTTTATAAAAAGCACTAGCTTTTTATGCTGAAGGAAGAGATATCTGCATGAAAATACACCATCCAAATGAATGTGGATAATACTGAATAACAAATATACTGGCAAAATCCGCAATGAGAATTAGTTCTAAACATTAAGTCATGCAGAGGCTGTTAGCCTTCACTTGAGGAATCTTTTAAGATTCTTCTTTGCCTACAATTCCAATATATATATCCTTGGAGAAATAAGTCAGATGGAAGTGACCCTCACTAAAAAAAATGCTTTCATTATTTTTGTTAAGGCTGAGATAAACAGCACAATTTTTAGTATAGGTATGTACAAATTTTAGCTATTCAGACCATCCATTTTAATACTTAAATAATAATATGTTTGAAAAGCAATAAACAGAGCTGTGATAGATTAAGTCAGCCTACAAACCCCCTGGAGTCCCTTGATCTCAGGTTGTTAAGATTTGAACATGAAAATGTTTTTTGGCATGGAAAATGATTCTGTTCTCAAAATTCCATTTATTTGCTCAGATTTCAAACTAACTTTTAAAACTTAAATCGTAGCTTTGTGAAAATTGGGAATCAAATTATTTTAATCACTTGGTCATTTGAAATGTAAATACAATAGATTTCTCAACCATGATGAGGATTCATTACTAAAAGGTAAAGTGGTCAGTGAAATCCTGAATATATGTACAAAACATTTGTTTCTCAATTCTGGCCTGTTTTTATCATAGGCCAGTTTCTAAAAAATTAGGGAGAGATTTCAAGCAACTACTGTATGTTGTAATGCTATAGATTACCTTTAAGGCATCTATTCTTAGTAACCTTGCACTGCTAAGTCCATGAGTTTCCTACATAAAATCATCCATATACATACTTGTTTTATCTGGGGATAAAGATGCTATTTGGAAACAGTTTGTACCCTAACATCATACTACCAGAATCTGGTAGTCAGATGCCATCATAGTTAAATTTTGCAATCTCCCCCCCTCCCCCCCAATTAAAAAAAAATCCCACCGTCAGGCAAGGACTCGTTTGGTTGAGGAAAAAAGGGGAAATTGGAAGGCATTATTCTTAATTACATCCTTTAAAATCATGTTCACTCTTGAATATACCAGATTTCAGAGTATTAGCATACCAACTCTGCAGCTCTGCAAAGACCTGCTTCATTTTCTTAATGGAAGCATCCATCTCTTCTTTAACTACTACTCGATATCGAGACAGTGACACGGTACATCGCTGGAGGTCTTTTACCGATTTTTCAATATTAGAACCTGTCCAAAAATAACACAATAAAGTAAAGCATCAGTACTCCTTGCAAATTTTCCAGTAATTATCAAAACTACAAATGATTGCCATAAAGCATTTGTTCATTACAAGAAAAAAGGGATTTCAAAGAAACCAGCATGCTGCTTTGAACGCCATTTCTTCCAAATATTTCTGCTAAATATTTACCAGAAAAAAATTCCAGGAATAAAATAGCAGCACTGAGTTATAAAGACAAAATATCTAATTGTGAACAAAATTGCAAAGTTCACACTAAGATTGACTCTCCCTTTTACAGTCCAATCTGCATAAAAATTCTGTTTCCTCTAAAAGTTTAGGTACTGGTTGCAAAGGTTAGACTCTCTGCCGGCTATCTCCAAAACAGCACACTTGCAAACTTCTTTCCACCACCAGAAATTACCGAAGTGCTCACGCTCTGCTAAGCTGCTTGTTATGGTCCTTGTTAAAGCAAAAAGCTGAAACACTGCTGCCAAGAGGCCAATGTTCCTGTCTCCCCAATGCTTTGGATAATGACCATGTTTAGAATCAAGATTTTGAAGGTCTTATTTGCTGGCAGGTGTAGAAGAGAAGAACAGAAATTAAAAGAAGGAACAGCAAGGGCCGTTGCTTCTCATTTATCCACCCAAGTTCATTGAAAACCTGGCTCACACTGTGAGAAAAAAAGTGTGCAAAACTGGGATAAGAAATATATAATGATTACAAGGGAGAACACACTTTTCTAAAACTATGTTGCACATTACATATACAGAGTGAATCATAGAGCAATGCCAGCTAATTAAATAATCTAGGTCAACTAATTCTCATTTTATTTGTATATCCAGATGAGGAAAAAATGTAGTCTACAATGTGCCCCAAAGGATGCAATATTTATATTAAATATTATACAACCTTACAAGCTCCTTGGTAAGTCAATTACAACCAGTTGCAAGTAACTCTAGCTGCCTAATGTGCTCTGCAAATTACTCCCCACTTTTAATGAAATGTATTATGTAAGAGCTCTCTACAACCCAAATAGAAATAAAGAAATTCAAATAAGACGAAAAAATATTGTGCCCAGTGAATGCATTTATTCTCAGAGCAAGCAGGTATTATACCATCAGGCTTGAACAGATCAGTAGCAATTTTGAATTTGGATATAAGAATCCCTTGCAAAGTCATCACAAAACTAAATGAGAATTATACAGTGGCAGCAATTGAACACTGAAATAGGCAAGATGAAGTGATTGATTGAAATCAGGGAGGAGAGGAAGTGGCTATCAACTTCCACAGGAATCCACTCTTCATTTACCAATCCCAGTGCAGCAGCTAACATATTACTTATGGTAAAAAGCAATAAATGACATGACGACAAATGATTTGTTGTTCAGAGCATATTAAAAGGTTATCAATAAGCATGTCAAGACAGAACAAGGATAATCATATGGAGATGTCCTGAATATTTATCTTCATCTTAATATTTATGTAAAATATATTCATATGTTTGCACATGAAGTATTCAGAACAAAAATAACAACTTCAATTTTAGATTCCATTTAATTTATAATCTTACTGTTTCCCAAGGAATATCTGAAATGATAGACTAGGCTCTTTTTTGCTTATCTCTGAAACAGCTGAAGGTTAGGCTGATTTGGTACATGGTTACCCAATGAACTTTATGACTCAGCAAGATTTGAACAGGATCAAAGTCCTGTACCATCCACCACAGCACAACTAATGAGATATACACTAAGAATTACAAGCTTTTAGAGTTATAACAAATGTCAACTGGCACCCTATAATTATTTTGCAACAAAGAACTTCTTAGAAAAACTAAAAAGAGAACAGAATCATGCCATAGATCTGTAAATTCTACCTAGTTTTTTGTTTCCAGGGGGCACAGGGATCTCATCCAGCATTGCTAGGGATGAGGGAGCTGGAGACTGGGTGCTGGAAGCAGATCTGGAAAGTGGCTTGCCAGCATTTCTCAATTCAGGTTGCACTCTGAGGGACTGGGTATTCTGGGAAGACCGCATGCTTGCAGATTTTGGACTCAAGTTGGTTATTCCATTTTCAAACTGTAACAATGCTGAAGAAGGGAAAAAAGTGTTACTCTAAGCTTCCCACCACCATAAAATAACATAAAAAAGAACAACAGGATAAGGAATTTTATGTAGACTGTAATCCCAAATTACTTTTCTAGGGTGTCTCTGTATGGTGAACATCTACCTACCAAGAATTATATCAGGGCTTGTCAATTATGGCAATTTTTTGGCCTATAAACTTCAACTCCCAGAATCCTGAGCCAACATGGCTGGCTTGGGAATTCTTGGAGTTGAAGTTGACAGGTTGTAAAGTAGCCATAGTTGCCCACCCCTGCTTTCCATGGTACCCAATTTTCCAATTCAGTACATTCACTGCTCATGCAATCTATGGATTTCCAAATCAGATTATATAATTAAGTATAAATTCCAGTTATTATTACTGTCATGCTGCTTCCATTTCTACCTCTCTCCCCCTCTTTGGAATCCTGAGAAGAGTCAAAGTAATTTGAAAAAAAAGGATTCATCTCCTTCTGTGGCAACTACTGAATAGCGGACGGTAATTGTTTGGTTATTAAATAATGAAATGTGGCAGAAGACACTACACAAGAAGAATGGAAGAAGGAAGCCTTCCTACAGACTTTCTGATTTTCATAATAATCCAACAGAGAACTAACCTGGTCCATCAGGAGTCTCAGGTGTAGCAAGTTCACTCTCCTCTAACTCTCTGGCGTCAATGGAAAGTGTGTCCAAGCCTTCACTGAGTGAGTCCACAGACTCTGTATCATTGGCTGAACCATTGACGTGGTAACCGTTAATCCCGCCCTTCTCTGATGAAACTGCAGACTGTTCTTCTTCAGTGGCTGCTGGCTTGCTGGAGTCAGGAGGGTTGGCACTTGATTCTGCAGGGGTTTTTGATTTGGTCTTCTTCTTTTTGTTCTAGAATTAAGATACCGACATTGTGAGAGAAGAGACTAAGCTTAATTCCTGGTATGAAATGGAATATTATTACTATTGCCTGAATATAAAAGAATTAAATTCTTCCATCAGTCAGGACGTAGAGACGATTCCGTAAATGTTAGATGGATTTATTTAACAGCCAGAACTGACAGGCTGTGATATTAATGAAAGTGTGCAGTGTGTAGCAGCCATTTATGAAGAAAGACCCCAAATTAGTCTGAAGGGCTATTTTCAGAAATATGCACATTCCACAATTCCATACAAATACAGGGGGACAAAATATATGCCTTGTGAAATCTTTGAAGACAGGGCAATTTCAGAGCCAGGTAGTTAATGGGTGAGATATCCTTAAGCCTTCTAAATTACTAAAAGAAACAGAATGAATTAGTGTGTGCTTGATTTTTATCATGGAGATATATATATATCAGACGAACACAATACAGAAGCCTGATGATGGCAGATGAGATTCTGCCGAAATGTTGCTACAACTTTAAAAGCACAACTATAATGACGTGGGAAAATACCCGAACAAAGCTGAATACCATACATATACACACACACACATACATACATACATACATTCTAATCTTTGCACATGGAATCTATAAAGAAGATGGTGAACATTCCTGCATTTACCTGGGCTTTCCACAGATAAACGAAGAAGGAAAATGCTGGTGAGGTTAGACCTTGTTCTAACCCAGCAGAGGTCTTACATACCATATATTCAGTGTTCCTGGAAAATCTTACACAGTGTTACAGAATGTTCTAATAGCCCTAAGCAAGTACTGGAATTTTTTTTTGCTTCTCTTCCCATTCCCCAGAGGTCTTTTTTAAAAAGCCATTCCCTCTTATTTAAACTAGTTGCATCACCTCAGTTATGCCATATGATACATAACAGGAGCTAATGGGCCATGACTGTGGATTGGCTATGGATCCCTGCTGTAAGGCTGACCTTCAGCATAAATTAAATTTAATGTTGCCAATGTGAGGATTAATAAAGGAAAGGCTGCAAATGTCTCCATAAAGGTTGGCACTGTGTTTCAAGTTTCCCCCTTCAAGGACTACCTCTCTTTTTCATTGGGGTAGTCAGACTTTTGGGACTAGCAGGTACTGTTAGAATTTCAAGATTGTGTTGTGGGAACTAACAGCAGGATGGAGATCCCTGACCATAGTATTAAATAAATAAAAATAAAACAGAATACTCTTACTATTTCCAAAATGACTGCAAGAGGAGGAACATCCGGCCACAAAACACCATTTATCAGAAGACAAACAGATGAGATTGGTCCTACATACTTTAAGTTCTTACACCCTAACTTACTTTTGCATTTTTTTCTAATTATGAGGGCACACTTCTAGTCAAAGCAATGGAGGATAGCCACAACAGTTTTCATTTTCTAAGAAGATGTGTAGTATTCATTGGTAAATTTAGATCATGCAAATTGTTTATATATCAGACTCCTTTTTTAAAAAAGTGCTAAAGGAAATGTGGGTATGAAGACTCAAAGATACTAAGTGAAGGTCCTATAGATCAGGGGTCCCCAACCACCGGGCCCCAGACCGGTACCGGTCCATGGAACATTTTCTACCGGGCCGCCGGTTTGCTGGGCGCCATCTTGTTTTGATGAGAAAGTGCTTCCGGTGAGCTTTTCTGGTTGGAAAGCGGCGTTTGGGTCCTGAAGGAATCCTCGCGCCTTAGTTTCATCAACGGGGGGAGCGGCTTCGAACAAAACTAAGGCGCGAGGATTCTTTCAGCACCCAAGGCAAGGTGAGCCGAGCGACCGTCCCAAAGCCATCCCAAAGCCCATCGACAAAGGTACAAAGGAGGAGTTGAAGGTGGCAGGGAGAAGCGGGGACGGCTGGCTGGCCGGTCGCTCGGCTCGCCTTGCCATGTGTGCTGATGCCGGTACCGGGCCGCGGATCATCTTGTGATGCCGGTACCGGGCCGTGGCACAAAAAAGGTTGGGGGCCACTGCTATAAGTGCTTTGGAACTTATAAATGGTTTATTGGGGATGTCAACTCTACATCCTTGGTGGAGGAGGGAGGACCTAAGAATGAGAAACTGAAGACTCTGGAATATCTGTCATGAAGATGAGAGATAATAACTAACAGCCTCATTATAATTCAGTAGAATATCAAAGCAAGCTCAAATCCAAACCAAGACTAACCTTTTTCTTGCCAGTTACTGTCCATTCTTTCAACACTGCAGTAGCACTACCTATTATTTAAAAAAAGCACATAATTATTACGGTTTGTATGCTCCTTAGCTATACAAAACAACAATAGCAAATCATAAAGGTACATAAATAGAATATATCATAGTAAGCTTATATTGCTGATAACAAAAAATGGCTTAAAGCCGGAAAAAATATTTATTTATTTTCTGGTCAGAAGATAGAAGATGGTATATTTTGTTTTTGTTATTAAAAATATGATTGTGATTCTTAAGGAAAGACCAGGATATGCCACTAAAGTGTGAAATCTTTAAATTTTATCTTAAAAATAAATATAATAATAAAATGTCTACAAATATATTCTTGGGAAGAGTTTAGATGGTGCATGGTTAGAATACAGTACTGCAGGCTACTTCTGCTGACTGCTGGCAGTTCAAGCCTCACCAGTTCAAGATTGACTCAGCCTTCCATCCTTATGAGGTTGGTAAAATTAGGACCCAGATTGTTTGGGGCAATAAACTGACTCTGGAAACTGCTTAGAGAGGGCTGTAAAACACTGTGAAGCAGTATATAAGTCTAAGTGCTATTGCTATCATGGTGAGACCTGAATTGTTTTCCATGATAATTGTTGGAATGTAAAACATAAAAGCTGAAGAATACTGGTCAACAAGATATTGAGTAAAAGCTGAGTTGCTAAATAAGTACTTTTAGGACACCATTTACACAAGGTGGTTTTGTATCATAGTGACAAGATTTTAGGATTTCTATGCTTCATAGAAGACTGCTTAAGACTGATTTACTGAAGCCAAAAGCCAATAAATGGTAGTGTCCTTACAGAGTTTCTGAAATTGTACGTTCCAATTAGTTTTAGTACCTAATAAAAGGCATTAATCCATTAGTTCATTTCAGTACAGAACGGTCTCAGGAAAAAATGTTTCCCTAATCTAGGCCCTGAAATGTAGAATTTTAGGTTTAACTAGAAAGTCTTGTTTTCAGAAGTCTGAAATAGATTGTGAAAGAAGTCATAGGATAAAGCCACATTTAGAATAAAGAATGAAACCTTTCTTTAAAAAGCTATGAAAAAGGATTATATTGTTTAGAAAAGAGATGCACAACACATTTGAGCTAAGAGCACACAATAAAAAGTGGTGTGCTAAATCACCTCAAAAAACATTAATTTCATTGTTATTTAACCATGTTTCACCCCTTCTGTTACAATTAAAATGACCATCTGATAACAACCTTTGGTATATCTGGGGCAGCACTCAGAGTTTCCAAAAGCAGCATATAAACCTCATGAATAGTTCCTGCTGAGTCTCTCATTAGGCAAGGAAAATTTCCGTTTCCATGAGTTCCCATGAACATGCATAAATGAGTTATGGAGAAAACTTGTGAATGTGCTTTGCTACTGGAGAACATAAAATTCAATGTCTAAAGCGGAATTTTAACTGAGCACACCGCTCATTTTTGCCCAGGCAGCCATTTTTAACCTTCAACAACAAAAATAGAATTTAGAAATTGTCTAATAAAAAGGGCAGACATTTTATATTTCCTTCATAACTTACCTTGATTTAGGGTAATATAATCCAAGTATCATACAAAACAAATAAGTCCTGTGCCTTAGTTACATATCTTGAAACACCAGAGTATCAGAAAGTGAAGAAATATATAAATATATTTTAATAATTATTTAGCATTCTGTAATTGCATGAAAGTAAGATTGCATGTTAAATGATAACCCATGCTTTTTTCCCCGTCGTATTCGTTTTTGAGGCCTGTCAGAAAACATCTCAGGTAGGAACTAAGAACTTACCTTCCATGAAAGCCTGTACAGTTCGATCTACACAATTATCAAAGTGTTGCAGCACTAGGATAATCTCATTGTTGCTGCGGTTAGGGACTATCGCTCTCACAGCACTAATCTAGAAAAATGAGATATGCAGATCATACGTTAGCCACTTACTTTCCACACAAATATGTGCATTGCCAACACAGGAGAAAAATTAAGTTTCTGTTTTCCTAAATTGAAGTCAGTTTCGTTTTTCCTCTGGGGACAGCCCATTTTTCCTCTGGCAGCCTGTGTGTGGTGTTAAGCCCATTTCAAGCACTTACACTAGAGCTGCAAGCAATATGAGCTAACGGTATGAGTAAAGCCTTCCAGATTCCACTGGTTAAGATGTCACTGAAAAGCAAATATTATGACTCAATATGCTCTGAAACAGTCTGACCAGAAAAGCTTGTCCCCAAATCAATAGTAGCTAAAAAAAGAAGAGGAAAAATAAATGTTCAGCCATGAGACAACAAGAAGCGAGACAAGAAGCAATGTATGGAAGCTAATCAAGGAGAGAAGCAACCTAGAACTAAGGAGAAATTTTCCGACAGTTAGAACAATTAATCAGTAGAATAACTTGCCTCCAGAAGTTGTAATGCTCCAACACTGGAAATTTTTAAGAAGAGATTGGACAAACATTTATCTGAAATGGTATAGTTTCCTGCCAGAGCAGTGGGTTGGTCTAGAAGATCTCCAAGGTCCCTTCCAACTCTTATTCTGAGAAAAGCGATTTCAACAGTTGCAACTGTGGAAGATACTACTTCCAACAGTAATAGGGTCACAAGAAAGTCAAGAACTTACTGTAAATTGAAATTTTCCCTGCATGCTCTATTCATACTTCAAGGGAGTCATCATAGTTTCTGACTTTCAAAAAAATATTATGCTATTTTCAGCTGTTAATGAAGTAACTGTTACTTACCTTCTCTTTCATATTTTCAAAGGTACCTCCTTGGGCCATCACGGTGTTTGACTGCACATCAAAAATAAATCCTGACAAATCTGAAGAATCAGAAAGAGATGAACGTTCAGAATGAGAGGCAGCAACAAGGAAGAAATTTAAGTTCAGAGAGTAGCTGCAGTTATAGATTGTTCTGTGCAGAATCATATAAATAGGCTGGAAATTATGCTAGAATAACTCATCCAATCCCTGAAAGCAATAACTTGCAGGCACACCCCCTTGGGAGAGGCAGAAAGCATATCAGTTTCACCTGTTGAACACCACAGCATTAGTAGGCTTCTGAAACAAACAGTTCTAGCAATATTGCAAAACTAGTCAAATATTAAAATGTGCACTAGAAAAGTATTAACTGAATAGTTTTCAAAGTCAGAAATTCAGACTTCTATGTCCCGAGGCATATTGAAGTTCTTCTTGATGTCTATCACTAAATTCTATATAATTTTCAGGGTAACTCTATTTTTAGACCAGAATTATAGCAAACTGTGTTTCCTGCTAGCTATAAACATTTCTTGGCTATTCTATGTTCCAAGGCAACACTGCTGATTAGTCATTTGATTGATTGTTGGGGAAAAACCCATCGTCCAATGCTGATATAGCTGAGGTCATTGTTAATAGCAGTGAGGAATCAGGATTCCTCAGTTCTTACTTTCAGGATTGCTGGATAAAAATGACCGGGTTTTTAACTGACCTTCATTGATTCCACACCTAGTTCTACTGTGCTCTTCCCAGCTCACAAAAAATAATAAGTTATTTAGCAGAAGTACAAATTTTACCCCTGAGGTAAAGATACCCTTCTCTATCTCAAAGGTGGCACTGGCCCACACAACTAAGATCAGAATTCAACATTTAAAGCAGTAGCATGTGTAACTATCAACTGGAATCCACTATCTTAGATTGAAACTCACAGCTGGAAAACCAGATTGTATAGTTTATCAAGAAACGCACTGGTTCTGTTTCTTTTCTAACCCATTTATTTTTGGAAATATGTTGAAATTCTTCAACATTAGCAACCCTAAAAGAAAAACTCCCAGAAGGATCACAAAAGCAATGAATGAATTAAACCTTTTTCAAATTGGCAACAGAGAATAATTTATGACAACTGAGTCAATTTCAACACAACAATAAGGTAGCAAATCTACGAACAAGAATCCATTTCAGCTCCAAGACTTTACTTAATATTGAATATTGCTTCTCTCATCTGGTTATATAAAGTGCAGGATTTTTGTAATGCATTATTAGGTCTACTAGTTATTATAATTTTCATGAAAAATGATTTTAACAGACATTGCTCTGTCATTTGAATTGCATAAGGAATTCAATGAAATATTACATGAGGAATAATTGAATATTAATTTGCATGATTCCTTTATTCTCTCCAATAATGACGAGGTCTTTTTCCTTTACAAAGGAATAGTTAAAAAAGCAGTTTGAGGAAATCAATTTCTTGTTCCTCTTTGATCATTTAAAAAAATCTCAACTTATTTGGTAATATTGATTTAACAGTCCTCTTTTCACAAAAATGCATTTGTACCATAATGACTACAAAATTAAGAGGTCAAGCATGTATTTTATTGCTTTAAAATAGGGGTGTCCAACCTTGGCAACTTTAAGACTTATGGACTTCAACCCCCAGAATTCCCCAGCCAGGCGTATCTTTATTAGATAAGCATATGCAGGCAGTTATCACAAATAATTCACATTCAGATTATCATTCAATCATGTTTCCTAAATACTAAAATAATTATTCAAATAACTAAAATACTGGAAACAACCTATTCACCACAAACAATGTTTGTTACTTGCTGACTGAATTCAAGTAACCAATTACTCTGACACTATTTTAGTAAATAAACCTTAAGAAATAATTGGCGTTAGCAAGAATTCAGTCAGCTGTTCCCAAGCTCCTTAAGATGAAACCCCAAATTGGATTTTTTTATCAATAATAATGTCATCAAGGTAACATTAGTGACATTTTTGCTAACTAATTTAGTATGTTAGAAAACAGACTGCATATTAATTTGTAATCATGTTAAATTTATAAGACAGAGTATAGTCATGTCTTATAAGTTTAACATGAACTATGATTACAGGTGATAACATGAACCTACCATGTCAGCATTATTAAAATTGCAAAAGAAAACATTGTATATGGCAAACCATTTATATAATGTTCCATATGTGATTGCCAAGGTACAGATCTCACGATGTGAATGCAGTGTGGGGGTAAGTGTGGAATTTCTATCTATAAAAAAGAACATGTGGAGAAAAAACAGTGAGCTCTTCCTTGATCCATAGCTTATGCCATTTTATCTGTTCTGAGAAGAATGGATGGAACACTGGGAAAGCTAAAATATTTAAAATGGCCCCTTAACATTTTTCTTCAAAGATTGTAGTTTGAAAATTGCTGCTGTAGGCTACACAGAATTTGTTCATAATATAATCTTGTTATATACAGGAAGATGCAGGAGATGTGAAGATGTGCAGTGTCTTGTCCTACATAGTGAGCTATCGGGATTTTAAATCTTGTCTATCCTGCACATTGTTGTGGATTCTTAGATGCAATTCTACTTCTGAAACCTCACAATAACCACGGCAAACCACGTACCTCTGTCAGGTCAATCGTGAACTGAACCTTTGCTCCTTGGTGACACTTCCATAAAAGACAGAGCAACCTGACAAAGTGAAGAAAACTCACTTTGCTTGCCAAGAGATGCTTGCCAAATAGGATGACTATTTAGTCATCCCATTTATTTCCCAATTACTCAGTAGCAGCACTCCATAGAAAATAGCACATCACAGACCGAACAATGAAGGGAAAAATTAAAGAAATAATCCTTGGGGGCAATTTTATACCACAGAAGAGAAAATTCATTTAAATCATACCTAAGTAGGAATTGCTAGAAATCCAAGCACTGTTTTTTCAGTTCATTAGTCAACAAACTCTTCCAAGAACTAACTGAAAAGGCTTATCACAAAATACTTTAAGAGCAAAATCATAATAATCTCTTGAGACGCCCCCACCCCCACTCTATCCCCAGCCCTCTATGGTTCTGAGGCCAAACAGAAGGAAAATGGGAAAGAACATTAATTACAGCTAATGGCCTACTACGTCCAGAAAGTTCATTAAAATCTGTATAGTAGTATGAAGGTTTCTATAAACCTTGCTTCCCCATGGACTTTACTTGTCAAAAGATCTCAAAAGGTGATCACATGACCCTGGGGACACTACAACTGTCATAAATACACGCCAGTTGCCAAGTGTCCAAATTTTGATCACATGACCATGGGGATGCCACTAAGTGAAAAATGGTCACAAGTCACTTTTTAAAGTGCCGTTGTAACGTTGAATGGTCATGAATTGAAAGGTTGTAAGTCGAGGACGATCTGTAATTAGGTTTGTTTCCTTAGCTTTTAAACAGCTTTCTGGTTCCCATTTTGGAGAGTAAATAGTCTTGTTAATGTAAGGCTTTCAGAGGGCATAGGTTTGGCATGTGGCCTTGTCCAATTTATTTTCTGTATACAACTTAAATGCTAGAGGCCCTGAGCAATTCATTCTTTCATAGTACTTTATAAGTTCTATATTCAGATGCCCATATAATGGTAGCTGTCTATATGATTAACTATTGCTAATGGCATGAAAGACTCAAGAGACAAACCAGGCATCTTGGCAGTCATACTGAACTTCAGTGACACTTTGGAACTATAAGACTGCTTCCAGCAAAGATATGACTCCCATTGCCAATTGCAATTATACAATAATCTGCAGCATGAAAAATCAACATTTTTTCTCAATAAACTGAGATTCTTAACTTACTTTAACTGCTAAGGAAAACAATATTAAACATTAGTTCTGATTGAAAATAATATCCAGTATAAGTCATTTATACAGGTAGTCCTTGCTACCTTACAACCACAATTGAGCCCAAAATTTCTGTTGTTAAGTGAGATATTTGTTTAGTGAGTGTTGTCCCATTTTACGACATTTCTTGCCACAGTTCTTAAGTGAATCACAGCAGTTAAGTTAGCAACATGGTTGTAAAGTGAATCTTCCCCACTGACTTTGCTTGTCAAAAGGTTGCAAAAAAGGGATCACATGACCCACGGGGACACAGCAATGGTTATGATCCAGTTGCCAAGCATCTGGATTTTGATTATGTGATCATGGGGATGCTACAAAGGTTGTAACTTGAAAAATGGTCACAAGCCACTTTTTTCAGTGATGTTGTAACTTTGAATTGTCACTAAATAAACTGTTGTAAGATGAGGACTACCTGTATAACATGGAACCACATTTGCTATCCTTTTGTTGCTCTACTGAATTCTACAACTTATGTGCAAATATATTTCTCTTTAAAAAGGAAAAAAATGAGTGAATTTGAGCGTATGGGGTTACATTTGTTTAGAATTCTAGAATTTTTTAGAAATTTTAAATCTCCATTTCAGGGAGATTAATCGTAAAAGAGTAAGCAATATCTATAGTTATGCAACCCTAAATTCAACAAGCGCTGCAAGGTGGACAGCTATTTTTCTTTGTAGCAGCTTTCCTATGCAGCTGAAAACAAATACTGAAACTCTTCAAAGTGAGAAATTCTGATGCAACACAAGAGTTATTGCTAATAAAGACAGAAAATATAGCTGCAAATTCCTTTTTAAAAGACGGACCACAATTTTCATTGTTCCATGAACCATAGTCATGACTAAGTCAGCATTGTAGTGTGAATTTTACAGTTGCTTTTTCTATAAACGCATTTTTTTTCAATAAGGGAAGATAAAAACCTAAATGTAACCAAAGCGGTAGTAGGCAAATTAATTACAGTTAATGACATAATCTAAAACACAACTGTTCTCAGAAAAATAAAATTACATAAAATTCACCCTTTTGTCAGAGGTTGAAATAAGATTATTTTGGAGTATTTTTTTTTAAAGATGGCACTAAATGGCAGCTTTCAAAATATTTCCAAAAATGTACTGTAAATTGGGGGTGAAGAGAATGAATAGATGTAGGAGTGGTGATTTTGCATAACAGACTTCTATGGAGCTG